GGAACTTTGCACTTTTAGCTTTCCAACGACCTATTGAATGTAGCATTTGGAAAAGTAAACCGGACAAAATATCTCCTTAAGAAAGTGGCATTAAAGAGGAAAACATCCCATTGTTAAGGATAGGTGCAATTGACCCCATGGGCTGGTTCAATTGACCCTCGCATCGGGGTCATTTGAAACGGGCGTAGAGCTGTTTTATAAGCATGCGTTTGGCAGCAAAATATGTTTAAAACATAATTTTACATATCTTTACCCGCGCCCCACTGGGGGGGCTATTTATAGCCCCCCTCCCGTTTTTCTGCAATAACTTCCAAACCGCTTGACGGATCGACGCCAAACTTTCAGGACCTTCGGCTGCATCAATTTGACACCTTGTGTCAAATTTTGAACTTTGTAGCTACCATAGGTCGGCCGGAAATGACGTCAGAGTGACGTCATGTTCGTCCGATTTCGACGCAAAACATTGAACCACGGCAATCGCTCCCAAGAGCTCAGTTTTTAAGCTAGATCCAATTTCTTTGCATGAAAGGACTCAGAATTGACCGCGCTATCAAACTGCCATCTCGGATTTTCAAAATTTTGAAAATTTCGAAAATTTTATATAATAATATTCAAAATTTATATTTTTATATTTTTTTCAAAAAGTTTTTGACTTTTCGAAAAAACCGGAATATATGTGACAGAACGCATAATGTTGACTAACTATAGCAAGTTTTAGCTAAATATCTTCAAAAATGGCCAAGTTATACGCATTATTGCAAAAAAATTCACAATTATTAATTTTTCAAATCAATTTTTCAGTACGTATTTGACATCGTACACCAATATAAATGGCACCATCGTGTTCCTGAGCTCAAACTGCATCCAGTAGACACCTTTTTGTTGAAAAATATAAACTTCAAAATTTGACCTTTTTTGACCTGAAAGTGACCTGACCTAAGCGAAATTCGACTCCAAATGACCTCGAATGACACAGACGACATCAAATTCGAAATCTATGGCCTAAATGGACCATAAAACATGTGTCACGTGACCGACGCATGATATAATATTTTTGTGACCTGTGATGACCTGACCCTGACCTGAAAATCAAAGTACAAGTTTGGTACCCTCAAAGTATCTAGAGCATCTCTTCACGAGTGTGGAAACCAAAAATGAGCCTGATCTGACTTGTAAGACGGCGGCCAGAGCCCAAAATGTGAACAAGCCAAAATGCTAATAATTTTTACTTTGACCTGACCTGTGACGTCATCGATGACCTCAAGGTCAATGAAATTAGGTTTCGCTCGACAGTTTTTCCGGGGCTATCAGACGCCGTTTGAATTTTGACGATCGGCCCAGTAGTTTTGGAGTTAGGAGGGGGGGCTATGAATAGCCCCCCCCCCCCCAGTAGGGCGTGTTATACACAGACCCCAGTGGGGCGCGGGTTAAAATAAAGCCAAAAGAGCATATTTTTTTTCATGGCATTGTGCATTTTTCGATATGACAACTAGATCTCGCTGTGCATGTCAATATATAAAAAGTGGTTCAACTGGCCCCGCTCTCCCCTACAGTTTTGGAGATAGAGGAAGATTTTTAAAGATTTGAAATATAACAGGGTTAGAAAACTGTTATCGCATATTTGTGAAAAATTTGAATCTCAACCCCGAGAGGTACCTACCCGAGTGGTTTTTGGTTTAATGCCATAAAATACTAAAGAAATTCAAAATTTTGACCGAACAAAAACGGAATATAGCTACAGGTATCGCGGGTTCAGCGGTAGGTTTTGCACCTAGGAAATTTAGTGTACTTCAGGCTGTATCTTCGTCGTCTTAAGGTTTTAAGTGTTGAAGATGCGATCGATTTATTAGTTCACAAGCCGGCCATGATCGTGGAAAATGGCTTCATCGTAGATCGGTATAGTTTCTGAGATATAACCGGAAATGTAAAAGTGCAAAACCAACCGCTTAATCTCGCTAGAGCCGTACCTACTACATAACTATTCGTCTGCTATTTACATGCCACATTTGAGCTAGATAGTTCCATTTTTGGCAAAGTAATGGCGAAAAAAAAACTACTCAAAATTTATGACGTAAAATTTTCAAACTCAATTTTGAGCCGTTATAGAATACGCAGAGACAACAAGACACCCTTTTGTGCAAAAATATCAGTTTTGAAATTTGACATTTTTGACCTGACCTTGACCTGACCTCCACCAGAACGGAACCTAAACCGACCCTTATGGTCGTCCAGCATGCTCCATTGAGTTGGAAATGTAAAATTGGCCACAAAACATGTATCACACGACCAATGACCATGTACCTAGTACCTATAGTTGGATCCATATTGTGATCCTTTGTGACCTGACCTCTGTGACCTGACCTGGCACCAGTGACCTCCTAAGCAGCGTATGCATTAGGCGACCAACGCTGCATCGATGATTTTCGATAACATGCCTTTTATTCGATGTTGTAACGCATTCCTTAGAAGGCCCGTAATCGGTGAGAAATGCGACCTTTGACCTGACCTGTGACATCATCAGTTGCACCTAGATCAATGAAACCTGGTCACAAGATTCCTGGTGGCGCTATCAAACTTCGTTTGAATTTTCCAAATCGGTCGATGCCTAACTTTCCGAGATCTTAGGGGGGGGGGTACAAAACGCCCCCCCCCCCCCCACCAACGGGTGGTAGGGTCGGCTAATAGCCCAACACGGCGCGGGTTAAATGCCCCTGCCGATATTCATTGAACTTAGTCGAATATTCACATATGCTATTCTTATTCGGTGAAAAATCACGGTATGCGTGCTCTAATGATGTGCTCCCAGTGTCGAACTAAATAGGTGCCCGTTACCTTACCGTATTTGATTAGACAGGTGCCGATTCCGATCGAAGAGGTGTACACAATACCTACACATGTAAGTATGCACTTATTTCGGTAAAAATTATTTCGCCGGCTTCCTCTCGGGTACTTGTAAGATGCTTTAAAAGAAGCGAATACAATTTCTGGAAGGTGTAACTGTACCTGTCACTTGGGTATCGTCTTTTCAAGAGCCGGGGAAGTCCTAAAAATAGGCATGATTCGTCGGCCATAGAAAACATCCTTTATCGGGCCTCACATCCTAATTGACGCATAAACACTTGAAGGGTCTGCTCCCAACTCACCATTCCAGTCTGCGCAGCCTCGAGTCGGTCGCCCGTGAGCGCACCTCAGCTCACGAGTCGCGGGTCACGGGTCGCGGGTCACGGGTCACGGGTCACGGCCACCATCCGGCCATGAGTGTGTCACGGGTGAGCGGGCCGCCTGGCCGGCTCCGTGCCTGACTCGCCCCGAGCACTGCAGGGGCCGCGGGTCGCGGGCTGGCCGCTGATTCTGTGTCAGCCGCCGGGGGCAGCTGCCAACCACGCCGGCCGGCCAAGGAATTCGGCCGGCCGCTGCCAGCCGGCCGGCCCGGCCAGCGTGGCCGCCCGGGCAGCGCCGGCAGCGCGGCAGCAGGGTCAGCACGAGCAGCGCGGCCCTATACAGCCGGTCCGGTCCAGCAGTCAGTCCTTACAGCCGGTCCGGCCCTGCAGCAGCCCCTACAGTCGGTCCGGTCCGGGTCCATCAGTTCCGACACGGCCTCCGTAACCAGCAGTCCTTATAACAGCCAAACCAGTCCGGCCCCAGCACTCCCTAAAGACCCACAGGTCCTAGCAGTGCCTACAGGCCTTCCGGTCCCTCAGCCCCCACAGCCGGTCCGGATCGGTCCATCAGCTCCACAGTCGGTCCAGACCAGACCCCCAGCTGGCCGCTGGCCGATCGCAGGCTGATATGGGCCCAGCTGGCCGCTCCGATCGCAGACCATATGACCCCAGCTGGCCACTTTGGGACCCCGGGTGACTCCTGGCCCAGCTGGCCGCTCGGATCGCAGGCCACTGGTATCCCCTCGGACGGCCGTAGTCCTCCGCGTCTGACGGCCGATAAATGACGCGCTCGGCGGCCGCGGGGCCGCGCCAGGATCAGCGCCGACCTCAGGGACAGTGACCCCACGACTGGCCACGGCAGCGCTGACCTAAGGGACAAGAACCCCACGGCTGGCCACGGCAGCGCCAGGACCAGCGCTGACCTCAGGGACGGTGACCCTACGACAGGCCGCGGCCGCGGCCCTCAGGAAGGTACAGGACTCGCGGGTTTTAGCGGCAAGTTTTGAACCTATGAAATTTAGTATACTTCAGACTATGTCTTCGTCGTCTTAAGCTTTTAAGTGTTGATGATGCGATCGTTTTGTTCGTCCTGCAATCGAAGCCTGCCATTATCGCCTAAAATGGCTTCATCGTAGATCGATTAGTTTCTGAGATATAACCGGAAATGTAAAAGGGCAAAACCTACCGCTTTATCTCGCGAGAACCGTACTCTGGCCCGGTGTCTGCCACTAGACTCGTCGGTAGGGGACCGTAACGGGAAGGAGCGAGGTCCACCCGCCCTGTCAGCTGCCACCCGCCCTGTCTGCAGGTCCACCCGCCCTGTTAGCTGTCACCTGCCCTGTCGCCGACAGCCGACAGACCCGGGTCCACCCGCCCTGTCTGCAGGTCCACCCGCCCCGTCGTCTGACAGCTGACAGACCCGGGTCCACCCGCCCTGTCTCCTAACAGCTGACAGACCCGGGTCCACCCGCCCGGTTAGCCGCCGGTGTCGTGTCGGCGCCCCCAGAGGCCGCTGGCAGCAGTTCGTCACGGCCCCCGTGGCGGCGCAAAGTCCAGCGCAGCTCGGAGCGCCGTGCCGGCGAACAGACGCGGCCGAAACGACCTGGCTCTATGTCAGCCCCCAGTGCTCAGCATCTACTGCCGTCAAAACCCAGACCATTTTACCGCTGGCGATTGATCCGCCCGGGTCTCTCAAGAGGATTACGCACGTATCTGTTTTCATCTATGTAGCTTTTTGGTGCGGCTCAACACTGGAGTCTGGAAACAATGCGCATTCGCTGCAAAGAAAAAAAATCAACAAAGATAAAGACCACAAATTCCATGAATTAAAATAGCAGCCACTGCATGCGTTGATATGTATTTGATGACAATATTCACACACCCTATATGATACTGCTGAAACATGCCTCAGTAGATGCCCCATAGTTACACAGTAAACAGTAAACACACCAGACTCTGCTCACGCGCCGTCAGCAGGATGAAAGCTCGTGTTCGTCACTCCCTATCAGAGATTACACGCAAGATAACACATAGCTGAAAGAAAGTACTTGAGCTGTTTAGATGCGCTACATCATGCTTACAGATGAACCCTGCAAGCAGCCTATGCTATTAGGCTAATGTGCTGCTAATACACTGATTGCATCGGGCATGCGCCGTTCGGTTACATAGTTCCGTTATCATATGGTAATGGCATGGATTAGGTAGTATTATCTCATCCATGGTAATGGCATACATAATATAGAGAGAGCGCTGACCTAGGTCCGACACAGTCGTGGCGGTCCTAATAACCTGATTAATACGACACTAATACACGTCACACGAATGCCTCACATGCAGCACACCGAATAAGGTCGAGAAACGCCCCGCTAAAACGGGGATGCCGTTCGGGGGCTGTGCGAGTAAGGCCACTGCGCCGTGGCCTCCTGAGAACTGTCGTGGTAGTGTACCGCCCGCGTCCAGCTCAGCGGGGCCGGCGGCCGCCGCCGGTACTGCAGCCTGCCGCGCCGGCCACCAGGGCGGCGCCACCAGTCACCGCGCCGGTCCCAACACACGGGGAGTGTGGGCCCGGCACACATCTGCCTGGTCTACAGCAGCAACTATTGCTACAGTCGTCTTCCCGGGCGCATAAAACCCGCCCCACTTCACCCTTCTGACTACAACACCGACTGAGAGGACTGCCATCTGCCGTCCACTGCCTATCCCACCGTCCACCGTCCGTAATTCACCGTCCGTTATTCACCATCTGTCCCACCGTCCGTCCATTCTCCACTGTGCACTCCCGTCTGGTACACACGAGACGCGTCTCGACGAGCCGCCCGCTATCTGTCACAGCGGCCGCCCGGCGTCCCCCACACCAGCTGCACTGCAGCCGCCCGGTGTCTGTTCCACCACCAGTCCGTCAGACGAGCTGTCCGCCGTTGAGCGCCGCCAGGTGGTTGACGATCTCGGCGGCCATGGCCGGCTTGGTGATCATGCCCATGTGATCGGCGTCCGGATAGAGTCGGCTGGCCAGCGGCTGGCGCTGCCGGCCGCGCCACGACTCGCACCACTGCAGGCTGCGCAGGTTCACCGTGCCGTCACCGGCGCCCTTCACCACGTGATCGGGCGAGTCCGGGAACTTGGCCATGTCCGTGTACACCACCCTGATACAGACAGACAGACACGGGTACAGGTCAGCACGGTCTGTCCGTGTACACCACCCTGGTACAGACAGACACGGGTACCGGTCAGCACGGTCTGTCCGTGTACACCACCCTGGTACAGAGAGGTACAGGTCAGCACGGTCTGTCCGTGTACACCACCCTGGTACAGAGAGACAGACACGGGCAGTGCTGGAAATGAGGCCGCTTTCTGGTCCCGGCGTTTTATTCTCCGGGCGGGTTAAAGGTAGTGTGCCAGCTTTCCTGGACCGTATGGAGTTAATGGCCCAGATAAGGAGAACCGGATTTTTAGAACTTATCCATACCTTCAAAACTCATGGAAACGTCTTAAATTCTTCAAATTTTGAGTAGGTACCCCAGTGCGAAATTCGCCCCGACGGGTTGTCGGTCGTACCCCAACCACATTTCACACCACTATGAACAATAAATGCTTACACTGAAATCGCTATTACCGATATGCTCATCCAATCAAGTTTCGATAAACCCGTTCATCATCATCTCCTGCGGTTCCGAACACGCCTGTTAGGTGGTGCGGTAGACCGCGCCCAAAGCCAGGGCCCCGGTAACGTGAGGTAGCCGAGTCGGGGCAGCGTGCGCTGACCCAAGCCGGGGCCGCGCGTCCTCCCGGTGTCATGTGATAGCCCGGGGCTGCCCGCGGGGATGCGGTAGACCGCGCCCAAAGCTGCGGCCCCGGCTTGGGTCAGCGCACGCTGCCCCGACTCGGCTACCTCACGTTACCGGGGCCCTGGCTTTGGGCGCGGCTTCTGCTCATACTTTGTGGTGCGGTGGTGGTGCGTCGGGCCGCGCGCTCTGACTTCGGCCAAGAAAAATGCGTCAGCTGATCATTGTCATTTCTGCCACTTGCGTGTGGTGAAATGGGGTCATAACTTAAGAGACGGCTTTTTCATATCAATTATTTTACATAAAATCATACTTCAAACCATAAATAATGTTCGACAGCCAAATAAAAGAAACAATACCAATACAGGCTTTCAGTTTAAGGCTCGACATTGTGTTGTCTACGATTAGACAGCTGATAACTCCTTCCCGTACGTCGTAACTCTATGATGACCTTTGCTTATTGTCACATATGCGCCGCATTCGCGATTGTTGCCGACGCCTGTTTGCAGCTCAGCCCACTACAGTTGTTATACATATCGAAAAACCGATAAACTTTTAGGCGAAAAAGGCACTATTCCAGGCCCATTTTTGATTTTTTTGCGATATTAGGTAAAAACAGAAGCTTCTTCTCCTAGGAAAAATAAAATGGGAAATCTTTCAAAGGTGGCACACTACCTTTAATCCCGTCCAGCGTTTAGCCTTTCGGGACCCACTCAGGGTCGTGGTTGTTTTCGCCGCTCGCCCCAGTCGAGATGCAAAGTTAATAGTCACACGAAGCTTACTTAGGGCCAGCCAAACCAGCCTAGTCTGGGGTTACTGTTAAATGTATGCATATACCTAGGTGAAAGAAGAAGGTTTTGTACAATCGATTAACCCGCGCCCTGGTGGGGTCTGTTTATAACGCGACCTGGTGGGGGGGGGGGGCTATTTTTTGCCCCCCCTCGTATCTCCGAAACTACTGGACGGATCCGCAAAATTCAAACGGCGTTCGAAAGGCCTGTCAAATTTGTCGAGGGAAACCAAATTTCATTGACCTCGGGGTCACCGATGACGTCACAGGTCAGGTCAAAGATGAAATGTTTCACCGTTCACGGGTCATCTAGGGAATGCGCTATAACACCGAAGAAAACGCATTTTGTCGAGAATCAGCGATAGGGCGTCAGTTGCCTAGTACATATATTGCTATAAGAGGTCACTGACAATACCAGGTCACAGGTCAGGTCACCAAGGGTCACAGGTCAGGTCACATGAACCTAACTTTAGGTACTAAGGTTGTGCGATGCATGTTTTATGGCCAATTTTTCATTTCCAACTCAATGGTGTTGGTTATAAGACTATCAGGTACGGCTTAGGCCACTTTCTGGTGGAGGTCAGGTCAAGGTCAGGTCAAAAAAGGTCAAATTTCAAAGTTGATATTTTTGCATAAAATGGGTATTGATTCGATGCAGCTCGTCACGGGGAGTCTAATGGTGGTCTTTGTTTTGCGCTACGAGGTCTAGAATTGCAAAAAATTGAGTTTGAAAATTTGACGTCATCAATTTTGAACAGTTTTTTCGCTGTAACTTGGCCAAAAAAAGAGGTATCGATCTCAAATTTGGTATGTAGATAGAAGGCGGTAAGGACTATCACATATATTCCGGTTTTTTCGAAATTCAAAAAACTTTTTGGATTTTTCGGCTATTATAATCAAAAAATCTATTTTTTGATTTTTGGGGGTCAAAATCCAAAAATTTCAAAAATCCGAGATAGCAGTTTTGTAGCCCTGTTGATTCTACAGCTTTTATGTCTTTATCGTTTTTCTGTATTTGCAAAGCTATAGGCCTGACAGCTCTTCCCGCGAAACCCTTTTTTGGGTCGAAAACGGCAGAACATGACGTCACTCTGACGTCATTTCCGGCCAACCTATCATAGCCTTTGGATAAATTTTTGGTCACAATGTGTAAAATTGATGTCCGGGAGGGTACTGAAAGTTTGGTGACGATCGGCGCAGCGGTTCTGGAGATATATCGAAAAGTCTGGAGGGGGGGGCAAAAAATAGCCCCCCCCCCCACCAGGGCGCGGGTTAATTTCGAAGTCGTACATTCAGAGGCCCCAAATATACTTCGTGTAACTATCAACTTTGCATCTCGAATGGGCCGAGCGGCGAAAACAACCGCAGTTCTGAGAGGGTCCCGAAAGGCTAAGCGCTAGACGGGGCTAGCCCACCCGGAGAATAAAACGCCGGGACCAGAAAGCGGCCTCATTTCCAGCACTGGACACGGGTACAGGTCAGCACGGTCTGTGACTCTATGTACACCACCCTGGTACAGAGAGACACGGGTACAGATCAGCACGGTCTGTCCGTGTACACCACCCTGGTACAGACAGACACGGGTACAAGTACAGGTCAGGGGGAACACACGCTGCAGTCGCGTTACTAAATGGTTACTAAAAATACTCATTACATACAACCACCATGACTGCACAGACACTACAAGTGACAACAGACCAGTCTCCCTTCCGTCCCCGTTACAAACACCAACCTCCGGTGTTACCTGTCCCCTCACACACAGACATTGTGTAGCCCACCTCTCGGTGGTGGCCGAGCCGTTTCCGTAGACGCAGTACATGCTGACGCCGGGCGGCTGGGTGATGTCCAGCAGGCCGGCCGTGTCCTTCCGCATCTCCCAGCCCACCGTATAGTTAATGTCACTGAGGGAGAGGGGAGGGTCAGAGACAGGCGCGACACAGGGGGAGGGGAGGGGAGGGTCAGAGACAGGCGCGACACAGCCCACAGGGGCCCACCGTATAGTTAATGTCACTGAGGGAGAGCGGCGGGTCAGAGACAGGCGCGACACAGGGGGAGGGGAGGGTCAGAGACAGGCGCGACGCAGAGGGAGAGGGGAGGGTCAGAGACAGGCGCGACACAGAGGGAGGGGAGGGTCAGAGACAGGCGCGACACAGAGGGGGAGGGGAGGGTCAGAGACAGGCGCGACACAGAGGGAGGGGAGGGTCAGAGACAGGCGCGACACAGAGGGAGGGGAGGGTCAGAGACAGGCGCGACGCAGAGGGAGGGGAGGGTCAGAGACAGGCGCGACACAGAGGGAGGGGAGGGTCAGAGACAGGCGCGACGCAGAGGGAGAGGGGAGGGTCAGAGACAGGCGCGACACAGAGGGGGAGGGGAGGGTCAGAGACAGGCGCGACACAGAGGGAGGGGAGGGTCAGAGACAGGCGCGACACAGAGGGAGGGGAGGGTCAGAGACAGGCGCGACGCAGAGGGAGGGGAGGGTCAGAGACAGGCGCGACACAGAGGGAGGGGAGGGTCAGAGACAGGCGCGACGCAGAGGGAGAGGGGAGGGTCAGAGACAGGCGCGACGCAGAGGGAGAGGGGAGGGTCAGAGACAGGCGCGACACAGGGGGAGACGGGGGAGGGTCAGAGACAGGCGCGACACAGGGGGGGGGGGAGACGGGGGGAGGTCGTCTGGTACAGCGGGACACCACGAGGAGAGGGGAGAGGACGTCGTCTGGTACGGCGGCACACCGGGAGGGTCAGTGATCACCCCGACAATGACATGGATGTTCAGTGGCCCGTGCACACATCAATGCAACGGGCAGAATCAGCGGTCCAGTTCATCAATCAGTTGGCGTCGCGCCCAGCCCTGGCTCTGACGGCCGGTCACGAGCGGATGATGGATGGCACCGGCCGCCGTCCCGCCCCGCCTCCACCGGCGAGACAGCAGACAGTTCAACACGGCTGACGGCCGACCCGCCCCACCTCCACCGGCGAGACAGCAGACAGTTAAGCACGGCCCGGCCGCCATCCCCGTCCATATACAGGCGAGCGGCAGTCAGACAGCGGGCCGAGTCATAACCCGGCCGGCCGGCCGGCCCGGTCACTCACGTGAAGAACTGCTGCACGTTCTGCAGCGTGTAGTTGGTCTCTGGCGTGCTGAGGAACACGTAGTCCTTGGGCCACGCCTGCGGGCTCGGCGACAGGAACGCCAGGCTGGGACTGGTGCGCTGCTCCTGGCGCAGCCGAGAGCCCGACAGCTCCCACACGTTCAGGTTATACCCTGGGGGCACGGAGAGGGGTCACTGCTACCCTGGGGGAGGACCGGTCACACCTACCCTGGGGGCATGGGCAGCGGCCGCAGGGGTTCCGAGTTCGCCTTATACATCCCTGTTTGTTTCCGCACCATCGCCCGCTTTCACCCCACCGAGCGGCATACTTCGCACGCCGATCATACCCGTCACACGGCGGGACTGTCCAGTCCAAACAGGGCTATCGCTATCTCCGAGCGCATCTCTATCTTCCGAGTCGTTGATTTTGGCGAGATTCCCTGCGCGCCCCAGCGCCGGTGGCGTGAGCGAGCCGACACCAACAGAACCAAACAAAACGGCCGGGATCGATCGACCTCCAGATAGTGTCAGCCTCTCCATATATCTGATTGAACTGGAACGGCCAGGAATCCCGTCCCGTCGAGCGCAAAGCTCCTTCCCATTCATCGAAAACGAAGGCCGACTGAACGCTAGCAAACAAGACGAACTGGTATTTCGAGTTTGTTTGATCACGGTCAAGCAATAGAAAGAGAAACACTACCTGTTCCTTGAGACAAATGGTGGGTGGATTTATTTGCCCGCAACACCAGTGAGGAACAGATGCGGCGAATGGCATACCGCTCCCAGCGCCGGGCCGAGCAGCGCTGACCAAAACTGAGCGGTCATTTTGAGCACCTGCCCCGAGTGTAGGAAGAAGGGATCGGATTTCTACTTGGTCTTACATCAGATGTCTGACAACTGCCTTTCAAATGATATGTTACCTCGCTATGCTCAACGTTGACAAATATCCGTAATCACGTTTTACTTTATTTCAGTTCCAACTGATCACCAGCAATTTCCGTTTTCATCTGGGTGAAGCCGAATCAGTAGTTTTATTGCATAAAACTATAAACTAGTTATCATGTTCATCGCCAGAAGCTTTGGGTAACAAGACACCTTGCTTGTTCTCTAAAGCGGGAGGGTGAATGGTGGCCAGGGCAGTTCAGACACGGTCCGACAGAGCGCTCAGAGACGCCGTCGCGGCGCTCGACAGGGGCCGCCGGCGCAGACAGGGGCCGTCCGGTAACCCCGGGATCCCTCCCCTCACTGTGACGGGAGGGAGCGGCCGGTGATCCCGCCGCCGTCAGACACCTCTGATAATCCCGCCGCGGTCACAGCATCTGATAATCCCGCAGCGGTGACCCGCAGAGGTGACACACCAGAGGTGCCTCCGAGGCCCCGGTCAGCCAGAGGTCGCCGGCCTCCCGGCTATATTTGTCGCCCACCTCGGACCGGACAGGTGCAAAATACTTTCATAGCAAAGTCAAATGTGAGCCGGATAGCGGGCCACTATCGGTCGTCCGTCCCGGGGCGCCCGCCGCCCGGCGGACGCGGCCCACTACATACTTACACGTCGGACGGACGGCAAACAAACAACGGAGGCCGCAGCCTGATAGAGCGCCGTTCCAACGGGGCCGCATCGCATTACATCGAGAGCCTCCCGGCAGGCGTCCGGCCGAATTACAGGGCAGCAGCGGGTCCGTCACCCCGACCCGACCCGACCCACATCTCAGCGGCGCGCCAGTCATCGCCGGTCCCACCCCTTCACCCAGCGGGGCCGTCACCCCGACCCACAGGGCCCGCCACCCCGACCCACAGGGCCCGCCACCCCGACCCACAGGGCCCGCCACCCCGACCCACAGGGCCCGTCACCCCGACCCACAGGGCCCGCCACCCCGACCCCATCCCTCCCCGGTCCGCGGCCGTCCCCCATCCCCAGGCTTCTGCTGCGCAGCCGGCGGCGGACCCCTTCCACCAGGGGCGCGCCTCCGTCCCTGTACCGTACCCGATCCCGTCCGACCACCGCCGGCCGTACTGCATCCCACCGCCGCCCGTACCGCACCGCGCGCTCCCACCGAGCGGCGTACCGTCCCGCTCCCACCGGGCGGCGTACCCCCTTCCGTCGCTCACCTGCGGCGTACACCTCGTAGGAGAGCGCCGTGCCGGCGAACGGTCCGGCCAGCGACACCCACTGTTCGATGAACTTGTCCTTCCAGGCCTGCGGCCGCGAGTGCAGCCAGTGCAGCGTCAGCGGGCAGCCGTAACTGTGTGTCACCAGCACCACGCGCCGGTTGGCGTTCCGGTAGTACACCTGCTCCGTCAGCCGCGTCAGGTTGGCCAGGAACACGCCCAGCTCGTCTGCCGGTGGCGGCGGGGGCGGGGGGCGTCAGGGGAGGGTCCGGGGAGGGTCCGGGGGGTACCGAGTGGTGGGGTAGGACCGGGGAGCCGGGTCGTAGGGGACAGGGTCAGAGGTGAGGGACGAGTCCCTCCGCCAGGGCGGGAGGTCTCGTTTGAGGTAATGGCATACTACAGCCGTGTACGCCCAGTGAATGCAGTGATATGCGCATCTCAGAAACAGTGCGTGTGACAATGGGCAGTATGAGCCGCTTGGTACAGTGCGACCGCACACCAAACTATTTCGTAAAGACTCGTCATAGGTTTAACCACTTTGTCCGGTTGTTAACGAAGAAAGATTACAGATGTTGTTCGAACGCGCTGAGGCCTGAGACAAAGTGCCAAGTCGTCACGATTTCGGAGTGCTACTCAGGTACGGTAAGCACGAGATCTGGAGAAAGTGAGCGTTCCATCCCTGTCAAATCTGAAGACGGGACTCGGTCCACCGGAAATGAATCACCCGAAAAGGACCGGTTCTTAGCGGAATGTAGTTAAACCATTACCCAGTACCCCATTCTTGATGACTTCTCGAGGTCCAGGGCATACAAGGGTAACCTAAACTGAATGAATCCAGCGGTCGCCCTCGTGCATACATTGCACGACAAGTCGCAGCGACAGAGTCGTGCCGTCGTCTGCCAGCTAGGCATCAGACAACGAGTCGACAACATGTCACGGCAGTCAGCTCCACCCCGGTGGCCGCCCCGCGTCATGTCTCGCCGCGCCGCGCCGCATCTGCATAGCAGGCCGGTGGTGCATCGTGTGCCGTCACATGGCCCGAGTCGGTCCATCCGTCACCGGCCCGTTTGAACCCTGACGCAGGTACAGAGCCGTCTCGTAACTCAATTGACAGGGTGTTTGGACTCCCGACGGTGAGAGCCCCGGTTCGGGTTGCTCCGGCACTCCATGAATGAGGCTCGTGACGGGGATGGTCTGCAGTTGGTGGGAGCAGCCGCAGCCAGTTGAGTGGGACAGGCCGTGTCCGGCTTTGAAAGGCACGTTAAACTTTGACATCTAAAAACTCCCATTAGCCGGCATTGCGCGATCTGACGATAGGGGTCGGGGTCTACGCAACAGTCTCTGCTTAGCGCGGGCTCCGGCTCTGTCAATCCGTCCACTCAAGGGTCCAAGCTGACTTCACTTTATTAAAAGAGCCGGCCGGTGCATTGTAGTGTTGAACCGTCAAATGTCAATTATCAGCCAGTTCTGGGACCCAGGTCAGCCAATGTCTGTCTGGGACACAGGTCAGCCAGTGTGTGGCACACAGCCGTGTCGGCGGGGACATGTGTACTGGTGCGACGCAGAGCAAACCAGCCGCCCCGCCCCCCGGAGGGCGCACAGCCGGTGACGTCAGAGCTGTGACGTCACCGGGAGGGCGGGGACCGCCAGTGCGCAGATACACACGGCGTGTCGGGAGAACAACAACAAAGGACCCTATTTCCCGGTCCCACGTTATGCAATGTCCTCCGTCCGTACAGACGACAGCTTTGTTTATTGGGGATTAAGGGCGCTTCGACTGCAAAAGTCGTTTTGATTTTTGCTTACGGACGACAGCATGATATGAAACGTTTTTAATTTCAACGTAGTTTGGATGCATCAATCAATGGTTTGAAACGTCAGATACAGCTTTTGGGCTCTGTCTAAGAATAAAGAAAGAATGTAACTGCTTTGAAAATGATGGGACAAAAGCCTTTTTAACACCGATCTTTAACACCGATCAATTCTCTTTAACACCGAAACTGGTTTAGATTCTAACCGGTTTACATGATTAAGTTCAAAGCGCAGCGACAGTAGACACCAATTACCAACCACATCATAAACTGAGGAAACGAAGGGGGTTTCATAGCATATTCATAATAATGCCTGGATCTTGAAGAAGTACTTTGGACTTTGGCGTTTCACAAAAGACGCGCCCTACTGTCCTGTGTCAACAGATAAGTCTCACCACACGCTTATTTATATACCGGGCCAAGATATAGCGCATGCAGTAGGCTACGGCTCACAAATAAATGTATCACAGTTTTATAAACAGCCTATTTTGCAACGATTAAAAAAAAACATGGGTAGCCAGGTTGTCTCCGTCCCTATCTATAAATTGGCTAAGACATGCTAGGATAATACGTAGTCGAAAGCTACATACAGCAGCTAGCACAAATGAAACTCTGGCCATTACTGGCCAGGGTGCTGGTTTACCTCGCACCTACAGTGCTTGCAAACCTACTACATAAGCCACCGTACGTGACCCATGTTGAGGCGCGGTAGGCTGGTATCCATTATCGGGTTTCGCTCGGCGTAACGGTCAGCAGTGGCAGGGAAGTGGCACATGAAATTAACCCAGTACCAGGCGGCGTAGAGGGACCCCAGGGGGCGGCCCACGGGTCCGGGACCTCGTCCACGGGGACAGACAGTGGCCCGTGGCACTGGGGTACCGGACCGGGTGTCGGCAGTGACACTGGCGTACCAGACCGGGTGTCGGCACCAGCAGTGACACTGGGGTACCAGACCGGGTGTCGGCACCAGCAGTGACACTGGGGTACCAGACCGGGTGTCGGCAGTGACACTGGCGTACCAGACCGGGTGTCGGCACCAGCAGTGACACTGGGGTACCGGACCGGGTGTCGGCACCAGCAGTGACACCGGGGTACCAGACCGGGTGTCGGCAGTGACACTGGGGTACCAGACCGGGTGTCGGCACCAGCAGTGACACTGGGGTACCAGACCGGGTGTCGGCACCAGCAGTGACACTGGGGTACCAGACCGGGTGTCGACAGTGACACTGGGGTACCAGACCGGGTGTCGGCACCAGCAGTGACACTGGGGTACCAGACCGGGTGTCGACAGTGACACTGGGGTACCAGACCGGGTGTCGGCAGTGACACTGGGGTACCAGACCGGGTGTCGGCACCAGCAGTGACACTGGGGTACCAGACCGGGTGTCGGCAGTGACACTGGGGTACCAGACCGGGTGTCGGCACCAGCAGTGACACTGGGGTACCAGACCGGGTGTCGACAGTGACACTGGGGTACCAGACCGGGTGTCGGCAGTGACACTGGGGTACCAGACCGGGTGTCGGCACCAGCAGTGACACTGGGGTACCAGACCGGGTGTCGGCAGTGACACTGGGGTACCAGACCGGGTGTCGGCACCAGCAGTGACACTGGGGTACCGGACCGGGTGTCGGCACCAGCAGTGACACTGGGGTACCAGACCGGGTGTCGGCACCAGCAGTGACACCGGGGTACCAGACCGGGTGTCGGCAGTGAAGGGTTCCGCCGGAGGACGGACGGCGCCGATACCGCCCGGGTGGCGGGCTCCATGAGTAGTGTGCTGGGGAGCTCGGGGCCGGGGGCGCGGCGGCCCGGCCCGCCGACACTGTACCCCGGAGACGGGCCGCCGTCCGTCCGTCCGTTCGCCGGTCAGATAGGGCGCCTGTGACCGGCGGGGGGGGGGGGGGTGAACGGAGGACATGTAAACACGGCGTCAACACCGTGCCGGCACACAGCGGACCCCACACCCGCGGCCGGCCGGCGCCGCGTTATGTAACACTCGGCCAGTGTGGGCCGGCGGCGCCCCGGGATCCCTCCACACAGCCGCGTCACCCAGGCTATTCCGCTGAATCGCTTTATGATGATAGCAGAACGTTATATAATGTGGCTGCTGCAGTGCGAGTGCACTGGATTAACTGTAGCCTGGCCGCCCGGCGGCGACCACTGCGGCAGGAGCCCCCGCTGAGGCTCCATCCGAGTTCCGCGGCGGGACCGGGTCTCTGCGGCCGGGCGCCGGTGGGAGCCGGGGAGTCGGCGCTGGCTGACCGCAGCGCTGCCGACGGGCTGAGATCGGCCAATGAGCTCTGATTGCCTTCACAACCGGGCTACGTACAGGCCTCCACTCCTTTCCATCCCCACCGCCTAGCGTCATTGAAGCCCTCCCCCCCCCCCCCCCCGGCACTCACTGGGCGCCTTTCGGAAGTGGTACGGCGCCCCCTCCCCCCCCCCCTCCCCCGGCACTCACTGGGCGCCTTTCGGAAGTCTTACGGCGCCCCCCCCCCCCCCTCCCCCCGGGCACTCACTGGGCGCCTTGCGGAAGTCGTACGGCGCGCCGACCACAACCCCCCCCCCGGGCACTCACTGGGCGCCTTTCGGAAGTCGTACGGTGCCCCCCCCCCCCCCCTGGCACTCACTGGGCGCCTTTCGGAAGTCTCACGGCGCCCCCTCCCCTCCCCCCGGCACTCACTGGGCGCCTTGCGGAAGTCGTACGGCGCGCCGACCACGTCCACATTGCGGGTGTAGTTGAGCTGGGTCACCATGTTCTCCACGATGTGGTAAAAGTACTGCGTGTACGAGAAGAAGATGCTGTTCCAGTCGCTGAGGTTCTCGATGGTGTCGGTGGTGCCGAATCCGGGCACCACCGTCTCCACGCCAGGCGTGTTGTACGTCTTGCGGTCGGTGATGTTGTAGGTCAGCTTCATGTTGTCCACCTATGGGGCGGATAGGCGGGAACGGGGTCAGCCTCAGCACCTGAGTGGTACCATCTCAACTCAACTCCACAACATGACATACATAACAAACACGTAGCAAAAAAGTGCACATGCAGTATAACACATGCAGTTACACAATGAGGAATGTGTTTGAGTAACTATGTGTTTATAGCTTTTGGTTTATACTTATGTTAATTGTTTTTGGTTAGAAGCTAACACTGAGCAAAATGGCCAGCACTGAGCATTATTTGCACATCATGAGCATGTCAAATGACACAATGAGCCTGCTGGACAAATGCTACACATGGCTAGGCTAAACTGCATTCAACATTTCTGGTGATTAGCTGAGGTACAGGATGCCTTTTATCAGGCAGGCTGTGAACAGGTATTGATGAGTTCACCAGTACTTATCGAAGGTCAGATAACTCACAAAGCAGTCCATGAACTTGCTGAACAGGACATCCAGGTTGAGCCAGAGCAGGTAGAAGGATGTGTGCTGGTAGCACCAGTAGTGAGGTCCGGATGTTTTGTTCAGCTTGGCCATCATCTTTGAGCCCCCATCACCTGGAACTGGACATCCCAGGAAGGCAATGACAGAAATGCAATATGCTCAACTCAAAATATAGCCTTCTTGTCTGAAACATCCAGAACATCAATAAAATCAGCTACTGACAACATCCAAATGAACAACAGCAGAATCAATTAAAATTAATGACTCATTTAATAAACAGTTGTGGATCTGTAGCAAATGGGCAGTAGGCTAATAAAGACATGCACAAAGAGCACCATACATACCTAAAATCACTGGATGTCTTGTTGGTGCCTTTCCTTTATTTCCATAGAACTTCCCAAAGGTAAGGGGTGTTGCAGAGGTGGTCCATATCAGACCAAAAACAATTATGCCATGAAATATTCTCATACTGGCCTCTGTAAAACAACCAATCAAACATGAGAGCAGTTAAACAACACTAGACATCCAATCTTATATCCAGCATACATTACATACACAATACACATGTCACATACAGTGCACTTAGTATCACATTATGGAGGGAAAATATTTATCAAATAACCCATCTGTTTTCATTAGTTTCCTAGCAGCATGATGAATGATGCCAGTGAATGATGACAGGCCCTGGCAGCCACTGATGAAACTCAAAGTTTTGGAAGATCACCAGTACTTCAACTTATTGAAGGTTCACCAGTAGTTTGCACTTTGGAAGACTGGCTAATTTACTAAGCCCCAAGCTGCAAGGCTGTCTCCATATAAACACTGCTTCTAAGCAGCATGGGCCAGGCCAGGTGACAAAAATGCACAAACCCAAACCAACCATGCTGGTAATCCACAACAGCACTAACATGCAGGCAGCAGGCTGCACCAAACTATACACACTGACACAATTTTTACTACAAAATTCAGCAGTCTTCACTTCTGACAAGAAAAATGCAATGTATGTCCATTATTCCTGGCCAGCCCAGCCCTGCCCTATCCCATACATCATTTTCAGACAATCAGCACAGTGGTCCAATTCAGCGAAAGACATTTGATGGGTACTACCTATGGGCGGCTGGCCCGTTCCTGCACTAATCCACATAGATTCCGCAGTCCGCACCACACCACCAGTGTAATTTCTGCCTTTTTGTAATTTGTATAAATTATGTCAATAAGCAACTCATGTCAATAAGCAAAGTATGTCTTTGAAAACTTGAAATAAGAGGTAGGGGACCTTTACGCAAATACACCATCTGCATGCCAAACAAGAGTGTAAAACTTGAATGTACGCTCTACACACTACAGATGCCAATCACAGTGGTATTCACAGTGGTCCAAGTTGAAGTCAAAGTCTAGCCTGTACTGCCTTGGTCTAGCCCAAGTCTAGGTCGGAAACACGGAGGTCCCCAAGCGTTTTCGTTTTAATTATATGAATCCAATTAGTATCACAACATGCTATAATCCAACTATCTAACATTCCCTGCCAGTAAAATGCAACAGCTTACCATTTAAAGCTGGCAAAATTGACCCCAAAACACCACATACCTCACCCCTCGCAACCGACGCTGACGCCATGCTGGTTACGGCGGATGAACACAATTTATAAACAATCAAGGCTGCAAAGATATCAGATGCGTTTCGCGTGCACAATTTTTTATCGCAGCCAGAAATGACAAACAATACCAAGGTTCTCAAATTGTTATGTCTAAAGCGCGGACAATTTTAAATTTGAGAAAAGCGATTATTACTCGATGAAATTCAAAGAGGTGTCCTAACCTAACCTAACCTAACCTAACCTAACCTACTGATTTTTGCCTACCGAGCTTAGAAACCTAACCTAACCTACTGATTTTGCCTACCAGGCATAAAGAAACCTAACCTAACCTAACCTAACCTAACCTACTGATTCTTGCCTACCGGGAATCCTAACCTAACCGAACCTAACCTAACCTAACCTAACCTAACCTACTGATTTTTGCCTACCAGGCATTAAGAAACCTAACCTAACCTAACCTAACCTAACCTACTGATTCTTGCCTACCGGGAATCCTAACCTAACCTAACCTAACCTAACCTAACCTAACCTACTGATTTTGCCTACCGGATAAGGAAATAGTTACTTGCAGGAATAGATTGCAGGCAATAGTAAATCAAATATTTTCAGGTTAAGTGGTCATGCATCAGGCTTCAGGCCTTCGGCCTGAAGCCAGATACATAACCATTTAACCTAAAAATATTTGATTTACTATTGCCTGTAATCTCTCCTAAGGCATTGCCTTCGGCACTGCACTGCTTCGCCACGAGTTGGCCACAGACGAAAACATGTACAGTACAGGCGAAGAAATGTTGGACGAAGAATGAAAATATGTACAGACAAAAAAATGCACGGACCAAAAAACGAAAATAAAGAAAATGCACGAACGAAAATATTTACGAACGAAACATTTCTGAAGACTTTTTCAGAAAAGTCGCTATCATTCGTCGACAGATCTGGCGCATCTCGTGAGGCGCTTTACCGAAAAAGAAAATTACCGAATTCTCTTCTATTAAAAATTAAAAATACAGAACCGTAATTCCAAAATTATTTGTGTATATCTATTACTTTTTCATAAAATAGTTCCCCCCCCCACCCAAAACCCCGGTTTCCCACAGTTCCCCTAGTGTGTTGGGTTTTATGAAGATACTACATTTCTGCGTAATGGTATTTAACAACAATTGACATGTTGACAACAGACCGTCGTGCGGCTCCACCGAGATCGTGGTAAGAATACGATTAGTTAGCTTTTGGTCTTAAAATTATCGATCAGATAACTGGAAACCACATTATTCTTACTAAACATGAGTTTCTCTATAGAATGATGTCTATATTATAGGGATTAACTAATTTTGAAGCGGGGACCTCCATGTGTACCGCCCAAGTCTAGCCTTTGACTTCAACTTGAGTGCTTGCTGGCGACGCAGAAAGCGTAATGACCTACCTACCTACCTGTTGTTCCTCGTGCGCAGCCGTTGTAACAAAGAGATATTGATATGGCCTTGACAAAGAGTACGAACAGAGTAACACCCAAGGTTTTATAGCTTTACTTATGCGACCGATAAGCCCAACCAAGAGAGGTGTTGATGTCACGCGCAGCACACCAATGGGCGCCCTGGGACGAATTGGGATAGCGACGACCTCTGCGTATGCGGGCACCACGCGCCTTTGTTTATTTTCGGAATCAGCTGTTCGCAAGGTTACGCTTGGTTTCGCTGAGGATCGTGAATTTCAGGCCACAATAATCGAGCAAGGCTTGAGCTACCATATGATATGGAGTAAAAAAAAAAACTTTAGCAGGATCTCTCGAAACGCTTTCGCATAGCCGTAATAACTCCAATACAAGACTAACACGCCGTGCTGGCGACCTGAGGCCTTTTAACCAAGATTACTTTACTACTCCTTTTAACCCCGGCAGAATATTCTGCCGGGTGTGACAACTGACATCAAACGTCTGGTGACGTCGCAGACCTCGCTATACCGGCAATCGCCTTTCATCGGTGCGAACTGTGAAACAATTTCACACGAAAGCCACTAGAAAATAACACCAGCATGTGTTTCTCAAATATTCTGTAGGGTAGTAACTCACCAATTCACGCTATTTACACCTCCCAATACATATCCGCACGAAAGAAACGCGCCACAATTCAATCATGTGGTGCGCCACGTTGAGTAGCAAAACCATCGGCATCACGAAAATCCGTCATGCCATTCTGCGGCTGGCGGCAGAATATTCTGCCGTCAGCCGTGACGTCATACGTTAGAAGCTCCGCCCACTGATGCCTACTGCGCATGCGTCGTGAAATAATATTCCATAATATTTCGCGCTGAAATAGGCCTCTGAACTTTCCGCCGAGTGCTGGAGGGGTTCCCCCCTAAGATCTCGGAAAGTTACCTGCCGGCCGATTTTCAAAGTTCAAACGGCGTTGGAATTGGATAGCCCTACCGCGGAACTACCTTGTTACCACATTTCATTGACCTCGGTCCAGCCGATGACGTCAGAGGTCAGGTCAAAGGTCGAATTTTCACCGTTTATAGGCATTTCAAGAAATGTGTTGTAAAATCGAGTAAACGGCATGCTATTGAAAATCATCGATAGGGGAATGGTCCGTAGAACACATATTTTGCTAGTTGAGGTCATTGATACCAGGGCCTCGTTTCATAAAACGAGCTCGTAACGTACGCCGGTTTTTGGGCTTGCATTGCAAGCGCATGTGAAGCGATAAATTTATTTCCCCTTCTGCCTTCTGGTCTTGCTTGCTTGCAAGTCAAGGTCATGACCTGACCGGAAAGGGTCATGTTGCATATCGGTTGATCCGTACCTATCGTCGAGCTGAACACATCTGACGAGTTTTCACCGCTCTAGCACGTCTCTATCAAAAGTTATAGCCAAAAAACTGCTGGTGATCGTTCAAGACCTGAGATGACATCCTCAGGGGCATACGAAGGGGTCACAGATGCATTTTAAGATTCAGTGTGTCAACGATGTTTGAGAGCGTTTTGAACGACATTCGTCCAAATGAGGCGCGTTTCAATTTTCTCCAAAAAAAAAATTGACCTAGTTATAGGTATAGGTAGGTATATCTAATGGAGAAGTCACAAAATTGACCTGACCTTAGGTTACAGATATCAAAAATCCGAGATATATATTTTATACATAGTAGCCGTTTTCACGACGGCCATCTGGTACACATCTGGTGCACATTTGATGCAGATTAGGTGCAGATTTGGTCAAATCAGGTTCAGTGTGTCTCTTACTAGCTATCGGCTATGGGTTGCACTAATTGCTGATATACCATACCTGCTTTGTCATATTATCAGAGAGTATCTAATCTTATATCGATGAAAACACTGAAATAAATTCATAAAATACAGATATTTGCTGTAAAAGAGATTAGGTGCAGATTTGGTCAAATTAGGTGCACTCGCCGGATAGCCCGCCGTGAAAACGGCCATTGTTACTCATATAGTTAAATGCTGAAAGTTTCGAAGTGATCGTTCAGTCGGTGTAGACTGTAGCTACAGCGAGCCTTTGAACTTTTTCTGAGGTAAGGTCACTTGACGTGACCTGGTGATCCTGACCTTGAATTGAACGACCCGGGTCTGAGATTTTCACAGAATTTGTGAAAATGATATATGAACAGGTGTACCGAAAACGGCGGCGCTCCGTTTTTGAGATAGGTAGGTATTCGTGAAAAAACTGAGGGAGGGGGGGGGCGTAAAAACGCCCCCTCCCCCAGCATGGCGCGGGTTGGGAGTGTAACTGAAATCGTAAAGCAAAAAACGATTAGAGCTACTATTCATAGGTAATGGAAAGCAAAGCATCATCCCAATGTAGGGTAGACCGGGGCAAGGCGGCATGCGCACCTGTTTGACTCTGATAGGGATTAAATTAGGGGACAACGAAGGACAGCTTAACGCTTGTCAACCACTGAACACTTGTCTTCATAACCTTACGGACAAAGTTCATGATTCACCCACCGGTAACGTGTCAAAAGGGAAAGTGATTTAAATCAAAATGGGCGTTTTGCCCCGGTACCGGGGCAAGGCGCCCCCTTCCGAGGTGTAAGGCGCACCACATGAAGTAATTAGCATAAAGCATTCCTGGGTGAAAACAAGCCTCTGCTGTATAGCTTTAGCACTGCGGTACGTATCTCAAAATTGTTGCTCATGACTGTAAGCCATAAATCAAGTTTGCTCCAGCCATTTTACTGGTGACATCTCCCCTTCCCTCCTACGCGGCGGTTACATATAGATAATTGTATTATATGCTTTGTTACAGCGTAACTGTGGCAAAACACCCCCATGGGGCTGGGCTCCCTGCTCATGCTGCGCTGTGCCGCGTCAACTAAATTATGTTTTGTCACCTGACGCACCGACGGCGTAAATGATGCAAACTATGTTTGGCAAAAATAATCGAGTATCTCCCATGGAAACTATGGCAGTACGCCTGCGTACTATCTTAACATTGAGTCACGAACTCATAGTGAAAATGTCGTGAATATTTCATGAAAATCACGTAAAACAATGGTCAGAAATGCGACCTTTGACCTGACCTGTGCGTCGTCGGCTGCAACTGGGTCAGTTAAATTGGGTCAGCAGATAGTTTCCCGGTGGGGCTATCGAACGCTAATTGAATTTTGAAAATCGATCAGTAACTTCTCGAGAACTCAAGTAAGGGGGGGCGTTTGCCCCTCCCCCTTTACGGGTGACAGGGTCCGGCAACAGCTCTACGGGGCGCGGGTTAAGTGGCCGCTAGCCACCTCTGTCCCATGTGACTGTGCGATGATAGAAAAAAATGAAAATGGAATGAGACTAGGGTTACCCGCGTGCTCCGCAACGCGAAGAAGGGTTATTTTTTACCCGTGGGTATTGGGTTGGTCTGTGTCGATTTGGTTGGTATTCATTTGCTTCGATTGTTCGATTGCTTTTTGACGGCCAAACATTTTGAAATGAAACAAAAAAGATGCATCGCATCGAGGTGCCCGTGTCGTATTATCATGCGTTCTACTTTAGAATGATTCGAAAACTGGCGTGAAGTCTTTTGAGGGCCATCGATGAATTTCGCTAAAAATGACAATGTAATGGTTTGGAACATTTACATTTTTAACAATGCTGTTGATCATCATGCAAAAATGAAGGCTGAGCCTTGGACAGAATTGAATGCTCTTTCCAACGGTGCCATTTTAATTGCCAGAGATATCAGATCATTGAGCAAAACCCGTGTGATCAATAAAGTGGCACAAAATTGACAAACACCATTTTCTTCCGTGATTTGTACCACCTTGATTTGGAGCAATCAGCTTTTCACAATTTTCTCATGAGAGGCGGTACATTTCTCTTGCCAACAGGCGTTGTTCCAACTCGCTCCGCTTAACAGTCACCTAAAAATAAAATCAATTCCAAAATCCGTCCGAAACGTCAATTTTCCACATAAAAGTGCCCTCCCCGGTGCACGTGGCGCGTGCCATCCCCTGCACCTCATACCATTCGATAGCCCGTTCAATTATCTACACGATGCTGTTTTTCCCGTGCCGGTCGGACCCCTGGTCACCAAGATATAGCACCGGGACCGGACCCGTGTCGGCCAAAATTTGCCGTTTTCGCCCGATTTTGCAAGCCGATTTATACATGTAAAGTCTATGACGCGAATTTGCACTTTTTGGACACGCGCCACGCACTCACTATCGACCCGATCGAGCTCAGACCCCTCAAAGGCACGTCGCACATCCTTGATCTATGAGTTGTGCAAATTTCATCGGGCTAGGTGCAACGGTCTGGCCTGTAGTCCACGCAAAGCACGACCAAGTCGGGACCTCGGTAACGGACAGACGCACCCTCCTCAAATAGTAATATAGATTATTCCGATGGCTAATCATTTGACCTCCAACCTTCGCGGGCCCAAGAGTTTGTCATCCCCCTGATGAATATTTCAGAGAGGTTCCGACGAGCGCTTCGGGATTGGATCGCAAATCTTTCAGTACCTTTTCACCATCAATGTGACGTCCTCTAGAGGAAAAAGAAAATGTATCTAGCTCCCTTGATGACGTCACAATGCGGTTTTTCCAGCTGCAAAAAAAAAACAGCTTCAGAGATAAAGACAAATTATGACATTGGTGATGCATATGAACTAGAAAAATAAATTGGTGGCCTGAGGTCAGAGGTCAGGTCAAAGAACCCGAGCTGGGGTCTGGGATGCCCCAACATCCGCCCGCCGCATCCGCCGCCATTGGCCGGCTATATTTAGCGCTGCGAGTCGGCGCTGTCGTCCGTCCCACTGCGGCGCCCAGTCCCACAGTCGACCGGTCCCAACTACTAGAGCAGCTGGAACAATGGCCTCGTTTACGCAGCGAAACTGATAACCTGTCAAATAGACGGAGAAAGTCGATGAAATTAAAGCGGCACAATTTGCGGTGAGAATGGGTGATGAGAATTGGTGGCCGCAGACATCCTAACCAGCACAGAGTGTTTACTTTAAACGGTTGAGCAAGTGGCCAAACTCACAGCTGATAACAGCTAATAGATCGTCGTAGCCTGTTGCCAGCTGTACTACGACTGCAATCCATCTTTGTGAAGAGGAATTACCGGACATCAGAGGAGAATCGGTCGCAGCCATAAAAAACGCATAAAAAAAATCGGCATAAACGCATAAAAAAAGAGCTGCTGAGCTCTGACGAGCCCTGTGGGGTCCCTTTGAGACGAAATATGGCCAGCGTGGAC